GATACTATATACCTAAATAATCTGTGGAACCTCAGCTTTAATCGGATATCTTGTAAATGCAGCTACGATAAGTAATAATAAGGGTACTTTTATCTTGAGTTCTGTGCCAAAGTGCGTTAGCATTTTTAGCTCAGGGGTCATTTAGATGCTTCTTATGAGACTTGTGTTTTGTTTTGGTATAAAATGGTTTGTATCGTCAGCTAGCTGAGATTATTTCCGTTAATCTGGTATAACACATTAATAGGTTCTTTAATATTACGATCCACTGAGACACTGTCGTGAAAAAAAAAAGTAAAATACCCGCCGGGACTTTGGGGTTTAACAGGTTAAAAAAACCGCAATATATACCGCAGGGGGGGGGGGGGGGAACCGCGATGTCAGTTTTTTTCAATACCGTGCAGCCCTAGCGTACACACAGAGCCGTTTGCCCCCCCAGAGCGTTCCGTTTGCAGATCTATCCACCTTGGGACCCGTTATCGTTTGCGGGGTCCGTTTTCGCGTATATGTTACGGCCTCGTGTGAACGAACGGGCTATACGAAAGAGAAAAGTAGCGGATACAACCGTTTGCGTTCTCGTGTGAACAGCACACACTGTAAACAGGTCTGCAGTTTAGTTGTTTTTGATGGTTTGCAACAGAGGCGCGGGAAGGTATTTTGAGTGGGGGTTCTGAGGTGCTGGACTCCAGTGAACACTATTACGGGCACTATAGAGCACGCACAAAAGCACTCCCCACACGCAAACACACAGTACACCGCGACAATGAAGGCTCGACAATCAGCTCACGGCATATAGGCAGGGGTAAAGTGCTATTTTTTACGAGTGGGGAGCGGACCTCACCTCCTCTAGGGGGGGTCCGAGGGGATGCTCCCCCGGGAAGATTTTTTTAAAATCTTGAAGTTAAAAGCATCAATCTGGTGCACTTTGAGAGCAACATTAAGAGATCTATGGATACATCTCTCAACACCCAGATGAAACACAACTGTAAGCAGATGTTCTTTTTCTTTATGGATATTTTACAAATCACTCTCCTTTCAAACTGTATTCTTGTTTTACTGCCATATAGTATTTCATAACTGTTTTTCCTTTATTCTCTTATTTGTTTTATAACTATAATGATCCTATGAAGGTGTGCCGCGGAAATAATCTTTTTAATAATTTGTGACCAAACCGTTTGAGACCCATTGAGATAACTTAGACTAAAGTGAACTATCTAAACACTCAGAGTCCTTTAGCTCACCTGAGCCTCTCAGTCTGAGAGGAGAACTCTCCTCCAGCTTGTTGTGGAACAAACATTTCCGTATGTCCGTTACAGTGACGTGCGGTGAGGTTCATGGCTGGTGAGGCACTGACTCTTTCAGAGTCAGATTTACAAATATTATATTTTGACCTTAATCGAAATGTTCGATTAACCCCGCTAGGTTAAGCGCCCTCAGCACCCCCCTTCCCGCGCCCATGGTTTGCAAACATCTTTAATCCAATGATGAAACCAAATATGTGTGCAGTCAGTGTACCAGGGTTTCCATTTGATGGAGGTCAGCATAGGAATTTTATTTAGCAGCCTTCAGAGTGTGTAATAACGTGAAGGATGTGCTGCTCAGCCACCTGGAGACTTTCATTATGAGATAGTAACGCAGAGTTTACTGGGTGCTGCTTTCAGGGATTTCAACCTCACAGGAAACGTTTAAGTTAAAGCTGATGTTGAATGTCAGCTTAAATACAAAAATTGAAAAGTATGAGCAGAACATCTTGGTGTGTTTCTCTGAGCTCACCGACTTTGTTTGAATTATCTTGAAATACATTCACCCTGACAACAACCTGAAGAGGAGTACTCCAGAAAAGAGTTTTTTTTAAAGGTTGCGTTTTTTAAGCGTAAATGCCATCAGCAGAAGTAAAAAACGATTATTGGTTAAAGGAACCACAGCACGGTCGCATGAATTCAAGTCACCACCGCTAAGCTAAAGGCGGCTAACGTTGGGCTATAAAGGAACAACAGCACGGTCACATGACTTCACATCACCACCGCTAAGCTAAAGGCAGCTAATGTTGGGCTATAAAGGAACTACAGCACGGTCACATGACTTCAGGTCACCACCGCTAAGCTAAAGGAGGCTAATGTTGGGCTATAAAGGAACTACAGCACGGTCACATGACTTCACGTCAGCACCGCTAAGCTAAAGGCGGCTAATGTTGGGCTATAAAGGAACTACAGCACGGTCACATGACTTCACGTCACCACCGCTAAGCTAAAGGTGGCTAATGTTGGGCTATAAAGGAACTACAGCACGGTCACATGACTTCACGTCAGCACCGCTAAGCTAAAGGCGGCTAATGTTGGGCTATAAAGGAACTACAGCACGGTCACATGACTTCACGTCACCACCGCTAAGCTAAAGGTGGCTAATGTTGGGCTATAAAGGAACTACAGCACGGTCACATGACTTCCCGTCACCACCGCTAAGCTAAAGGCTCACTCTCTGTTTGGCCAAAGCCAGACAGGAAACACCAGTAGTTCTTCGCACGGTAAATATAAATTCTGAGCACGTTCACGCTTCCAGCCGCTCTCATCTTGATTGAAACGCCGCCCCGCTGCTGACTTCCACTCATTGAAATCACCGGAGAGAGATACTGCGACTCAGTGTGAAGATACCTCTCATAATTACTATCACGGGGGTTACTGGAGTGTAAACTTCCCCAAATCCAAAAAAGAGCTGCTTACATAAACCTTAACTCTGTATGCAGTCAGAGCTTTTACCCAGTATAGTAATACGCCTCAGTCACTGTTTAGAGAAGAGCTTTGTGAACATGATTGTCAAATTAATCTGTAATCATTGACTGCTGCACAGGATATAATTTATATCACCAGTTAATAGCGTTTCCATTTAGTGTTGCAGATATACGCTTTATGGTTTCCTCTATTAGATCAGCAATGGCTTAATATGTTGTAAACAAGCATGGTGTTTGGTTTAATTTCACACAGGATTCCTTTTTGTTTAAGAGAGTATGATCTATGTTCAAAGGATCTTCCCCTGTTTCGGTTATTTTGTAAAAATAAAAAATGGGTGAATTAAGAAGGATCTGCAACAAACAAGGATTTTCTATTGAGTCTGTAGAATACCGGGACTTCTCTGCAGCTCCACACTGATTCAATTCACCAAAGCATGGTTTACATTTCTTACTATGTTGTGTTTCGCAAGTGTCCTCGTCATTTCAAGTGTTAGTCGTAAAGAGAATTGTTTTTTCCTGCAACACGATGAAATCCTCATTGCTAGAAGTCGAGAAATGTAAATTCCCCGATTACACAAGAGGCTCCCGCTGCGGCGTGGAGGATAAACATTTAGCAGCTCAACTCCCTCCAGAGGAAGAGTAAACACCTCCGATAAGCTGCCGACATCTGCCACTGTGCCTCAGAGTTTCTCCCCTACTCACACCCGTCTACTTTCTTTGGTCCGTTCCAAATATGAAAAGTTTAGGATTTGGTTTCTCAGGCTATATGCAGGAATCCTGAAGTCAAATGTAAAACCTTTTAAGACCCCTTCCATACATTTTAAGACCTCATCGCCACTTTGAGTTCTAACCGGTTACCTTGGCGACACACTTTACCTCACATTGACTATATACAGTATTGATTGTCCTTCCTCCTTATCTTCCAACCATTTGGACGCAGACTTGCATTTCCCCATAACGATGTTGTTTAACAACCGGCGTAAACGGACCTCCGCGCGCTATCAAGCAGTGAGCGTGCGATGTCCTGTTCAGATGACGTGAAACCCAACGGGATGCCATAAATAAACTACACAGAATCACACTACACACCTACGCCATGATTACATTCAGGCAGACTGTGGAATACAACCTCTTTGGACCATTTATATACTTATTGAAAACAAGCTACAAAATGTAATACCTTGGAAAATGCCGTTTCATACTTTTTAATAGCCTTCATTTTCGCTAAATTGATTTATCAACTTTTAATACTTTTTAAGACCCCGCGGACACCCTGTTTCTGCACTTGAAACTATTACAATTGTAAAGCTGTCAAAAATAATTGCAACTGGGTATTTTCTGAATCTTGCAACCCTGTCAGACCTCCACAGGAAGAGTAAACACCTCCGATAAGCTGCTGACATTGCGAGAGTGGCTCATAAATCTGTGTATTTCTTTGGTCCCTTCCAAATATGAAAAGTTTACGATTTGGATTCTACACTTGACACTATTGCGATTTCAGTTATTTTCTGAATTGTAACTAAGCTATGCGATGCAATTTCGGTAATTGTCTGTACTGTAAAGTCCCTACTAGCTTTAGAGTAGGGCTGCTCAATTAATCGTATTGAATCGCAATTACGATTATGGCTTGCAACGATTACGAAAACAACGTAATCGAAATAAAACGATTATTTTTGTATTATTACTTTTTTTAAATTATTTTTAAATTAGTTTTTGTGTATTGGTTTTTCAGTTGAATTATATTTAAAGTTCAAGGTAATCAACTGTTAAAAACATACTGTTCACATTTTCTCGAATAAATTGATGTTTTCAAAATACATGGATAATCGTTTATAATAATCGTGATATCAATTATTGACCCAAATAATCGAGATTATGATTTTTGCCATAATCGAGCAGCCCTACTTTAGAGTATGATAGAGTTGCAATATCTGTCAAAAAGTATTGCAAACTAGTTGTTTTCTGAATCAGACAACCCTATCAGACCTGCAGAGGAAGAGTTAACACCTCCGATAAGCTGCTGACATCTGCGACTGTGCCTCATAAATATTGAAGTGACTGTTATTTTGTACATATTGATTGTTTTGTCTTAATATGTGCATATGTATAAATGTGTCTGTTGATTGTGTATATATAGGATATACATATTTTTATATATATTTGTATTCGGGATTGTGGGAAACGTTATTTCGATCTCTTTGTCTGTACACACAAACTGAAAGATTGACAATAAAGTTGACTTTGACTTTTGACTAAATGTGTGTTTCCCCCGTAGATTCGGAGAACAAGGCGGTGACGGTGGCCGCTCTGCTGGCCAGCCTCAACAGCTGCTGCAACCCCTGGATCTACATGATCTTCAGCGGTCGCCTGCTCTCAGACTTCACCCTCAGTTTCCCGTGTTGCCGTCCTCTCCGCAGGAAGTTAGGACACCAAGACTCGGACAGTAGCAGCCGGAGAACAACTCTGCTGTCCCGCCTGCAGGGGTCCCGCCTCTCAGAGCCCTTCAGAGACCTCAACACACCCCCAAAAAACTGCCCCCAGGTCGAGTCTGCATCCTGACCACCGGAAACACCAACTACGTGTGTTTGATTTACTGAGAATGAGAGAAAAACATGAACTTCTCTGCTGTGTTGTCGCAGTAGGAAGGTGTGATCTCACTGTAGGAGCCAACATGCTGTGGTAGCCTGTGTTTATCGTTATATTATCTTCATTATTTGTTAAAGGTCCCCTATTATACTGTTTTTCATCAATATATCACAGGTCTCAGATATATCCAGAACCTGTCTCTGATTGGCTGAAACACCAAACAGATCATTGCAGCATTACCCATAATCCCCTCTGTTTCAGCCCTGTTTCCAAAGTGCTGATTCTCTGTCTGTTACTTTAGATGAAAATAAGGAGCCCCTCCCCACGCCCCTCTGAGAGACATTTGGTTAAAAATAACACTATGTACTTTACCGTACTTTACCGAACGCAGATCGCGTTCACACCGGAATAAGTCCCTGGGGGAAAATTACGCAAATGAAGCCACTGACGTCACTTCTTCTTCTTCTGCTTTGGGTTTATTGGCAGGCCGCAAACAACTTCACGGCGTATACTGCCACCCGAAGTCCCCGGCCGGAAGTCCCCGGAGTTGGGGACTGGCTTCAGTAGAAGCTGCTGGGACTCCCACATGAGACTTTTCTGTTTGTAAGAAAGTTTCTCATGTCACCCACAGCCTGTTTGCTTTGGTATGATCCAGTATGGGAAATTCCACTCTGGCAAAATTAATGGTGTTTGTTTAACTCTTTCTTATAAGTCATTTTGGGGGCTATTAGCATGTTGGTCTCGTCCGCAAATTATTTAGTAATCCAACTTCTTTAGAGTATGATAGGGCTGCACGGTTAGAGAAAAAAAAAAAATTGTTATTAATTTGAACAGGGAGGACTGGGACTAAAAGTCAGCCCGGGACTCTCGACCGACTCACTTCGGTACCGTCGGCCCACCTCGGTACAAGTAAGTAAATACCACTAGTACATTTGACCTACATTTGGATATTTCACTAGTCAATACTGCGATTTCGGTAACATTTGGATACATTTTGCAACCCAAAAAAAGCACTTTGCTGCTGGTTTGTAGCACTAGGAAGGTATGAACTCATGTTAGTGTGCGGTCACACCTACAGTCTGTTTTCTTTGGACTAAAACAGAGTGGAAAAGTTTACTCTGTGGCAAAATGTACGGTGTTTCTTTGTTTAGCTGCAGCTTTAATAACTCTTTTAAGTCCGTTTTTTTCTCCCGCTGACAGCTATTAGCGTTTTTCTTCATTTATCATCTCCTGAACATGAGCATCTGTCCACACTGAAATTCATTTTGTGATGCATGGAGAAAAATTGGCATCCTTTAATACCCCGTAAACCCTGCTGCAGCCGGGTTGTTAGCTTTAGATTTTGAGATAACAGTCACTGAGTAAACGTGATAAAACCAAGCTTTCCCCACATTACCAGTTTATCGTGGATACTGTCAGAGTGTGATGACTGATGGATCTGGCCTGTTATGGTCTGTGTAAGTAGAGAGGTGCTGGGATGTCGTATTTTTATAGGCTTACCCTGAAGGTAGCACTACCGGCATTCCCTTTAAAAAGCCAACGGGATTTTCCATTGGCTTTTTGAATATTGAATAAAAATAAACTTTAATCTCCACCTCATGATTATTGAAGTAAAAAGCTAATGTTGGGCTATAAAGGAACTACAGCACGGTCACATGACTTCACGTCACCACCGCTAAACTAAAGGCGGCTAATGTTGGGTTATAAAGGAACTAACGCACGGTCACATGACTTCACGTCACCACCACTAAGCTAAAGGTGGCTAATGTTGGGTTATAAAGGAACTAACGCACGGTCACATGACTTCACGTCACCACCGCTAAGCTAAAGGCGACTAATGTTGGGTAAGGAACTATAGCACGGTCACATGACTTCACGTCACCACCGCTAAGCTAAAGACGGCTAATGTTGGGCTATAAAGGAACTACAGCACGGTCACATGACTTCACGTCACCACCGCTAAGCTAAAGGAGGCTAATGTTGTGCGTGATGACGTTTAGTCGTCTCATTTAGACACTTGTTAACATTTGAAATTCACCAGTTGGGTATTTACTGACGTATTTTATGTCCACAGAACTTATTTCAGGTTTTAACCAATTTTCTATAAGATGAGGAATTGGGAAGTGCATCAAATGTTAACTCATTTCCGTGCATTCCTGCAGCATGATGCTAGTGTTGACAGTCTTCAGATAAAATCTTACATTGTGTGAAATGTAAAGAGTCTTATCTCAAGTTTCCATGTCAGGTTGCTGCGAGTGCCAGTCGCTCTCATAAAGAGTATTTAAACAGGTTTGATTGCCCTCATGTGACCATTACATGACAGATTTCTCTAATATATTCCTTCAAATTTGAAGCATTTTAAACATGAATGTATTACGGCACAGTCACAGAAATGTACTAGGACTGCAGTTTTCATTATCTCCCATTTTGCCATTTTTTAAACATCTAAAATGTTGAAAAAGCACTTAAATAATTTCCAACAAACAAGATCACAAATTAAAATCCTTTAGTTCTTTCCCACCATCAGTTCAAACGCCAAAAATATTTAGTTTATTTCAAGAAAATTATATTTTAAAAATGATTTAAGAAACCTTAACACTTAAATTCCTTTTAAAATGATTGCATTGAATTTCCTTGCTCTCAGCTCTAATGGGGGTTGTATATGAGTTTGTAAATTGAATGACCTGAACTGTAAGTATTTTAATAAACATACTAAAATAATTTTAAAGTTTATGTGAGCGTATTTACATTGTGTACACTAGTTTCACTTTGGCATTAATGGAAAAGAGTAATAACAAATGTTCAATATATGAAAAGTCATTCAAACGGCACTTTGTTTAATATAAATAGCATTACACACACACACACACACACACACACACACACACACACACACACACACACACACACACACACACACACACACACACCTAAATGCTTTCTGCTCGTTAGCTTCTTTCACTCCCAGATGTGTTGTTGTTGTTGTTGTTGTTATTGTAAAGATGTATATGTGACGTATTGTCATCTCTATATCGTTGTAATATATTCTGCACATGTTGTAAAGAAAGATAACTATTATTCCTTGTATCCCAGAATGACGTGTGGCTGTTTTCTGTTTACACACACACACACACACACACACACACACACACACACACACACACACACACACACACACACACACACACACACACACACATATATAGAAGCAGACACACACACATATATAGAAGCAGACACACACACACACACACACACACACACACATATAGAAGCAGAAACACACACATATAGAAGCAGACACACACACATATAGAAGCAGACACACACATATAGAAGCACACACACACACATATAGAAGCAGACACACACATATAGAAGCAGACACACACACATATAGAAGCACACACACACACACACATATATAGAAGCAGACACACACACACATATAGAAGCAGACACACACACATATAGAAGCAGACACACACACATACTGTATAGAAGCAGACACACACACATACTGTATAGAAGCAGACACACACACACTTCCTCTGACGCTTCACAGCTGCTTTCAACGTGAAGGACGAGGAAACAAAGACGCCTGTGAGCAGAGGCTGAATATTGGAAAGCAGAAACTGTTTTTAGAAAGAGTGAACACTTTGGTGCAAACTGATTTATTATGAGTTCATAATTGGATTTCCTTGATGTCGTACAGACGTCTTGTTGTGCATGTCTCTCCTGTATTAGTGTGTTTTCTGTTGGACTGGAGAATCGCCACCAGCTGATTAACTCCATGAATAAACTCCTAATAATCTCATTACGGTTTGAATTGGAAAATACTTCATGTAGAGAAAAGGTCACAGCTTTTTAGTTTATAGCGATACTAGCTACCACTTTCATTAAAACTGAAGTATCTTTATAATTATTAACTGGATTTATTTAACATTTTGTACAGACATTAGGTGCATTTCTATCCATCTGTTTTATATATATTTTTAAATCAGAACCATTAAAGGGGCCCTGTTATTATTATGCTTGTTAGGCCCTCTCCTCTTGTGTGTTCTATAGGTTTTACTGCATGTAAATGGTCTGCAAAGGCTACAATCCCAAAGTTCAGGAACATATCACCATGGAACACTTGCGCTCCTATTGGCTAATGCTCCAACACATTGCACGTGATAGGGTAAGGGGCGGGACCAGAGGTCGCGTTAACCGAATATTTTCCGTCAATGACGAATTTTTTCGAACAATGACGGAAAAATCTGAAAGCAGTCCGTCATTTTGACAGATTAGAACACAACTCGGAACAGCGCCAACATGTCCACCAGCGGCCCACATTATATTACATCCTTAGTGGCCAGGTAGACTGAGGGCGATCTACTCTACTGTAGTCTGTAACGATTATTTAGTCATTCACACCCCTGTCCAGTTGGTGGCGAGTGTGTGTATATTAAGTAGCTATTGTCTAGTCTTGTTGTTTAACCGGCTTTAGCAATCGCAAAATGTCACGGCAGCTGATCGTCTGAAGCTTTTTTAATAAGCCCAGTAATTGTGATGGTGTGGATACACTAGGTGAAAAAAGAGGGATTGATGCGGTGGAGGATGAAGGACAAGCCAGTAAGACTAAAACTGACAGCGTTCAGCCAGCGGCAGAGGGGCAAGCAAGTGGCAAGGAGTTCAAGCGGGAGCAAGAGTTTGAGTGGCTGAGGAGGGAAGACGGCAAAATGTTCTGCGACATCTGTAGAAAAGCTAAGATGAGTAACGGATTTGTCTGAGGGTGCACGACGATGCAGAAATCAGCGTTCAGGCTACAGCAGGTCAATTGAGTTGTTCTTGTAAATGTTTTGTTCATATTTTGATTGTAATTGTCTCATTTAAAACGATGGCATTGTTCATATTTGCCTGTTTAGGCACAATGGTCGCAGTGTTTTTAGCGGCCTCTGCCCCCTCTGCTGTGCTGTCAGTGCAGGAACAAATAAATCATTCATGTTCGTGCTGACATGAAAAGTGACCACACGGTCGGTGTCTCTGTTCATCTTTTTGTTTCTCCATGCCCTTAAAAGTTCTGTATGAATCATTAAAACATGAATGAATGAACATTTGCTGCTCAGTACCCAAACATAAATATTAAATAGGTCTCATCTCATCATTAAAACATGAACAATAAAATTACGGATAATAATGGATTATGACGGAAATGTTACGATCCTGTCCGTCAAAATGACGGACAACGAAAAACTCTAACGCAACCACTGGGCGGGACATCTCTAATAGGGCTGAACGATTAATCGATTTTAAATCGAAATCGCGATTTGAAATGATGCAATTATCAAATCGCAAAGCCTGCGATTTCTTTTTTTTTCTTTTTTTGTTCTTCTTGTGTGTCAGTCATCCACACCAATCAGAAGTGCTGTGCTCCACATGTACCAGTCATTGTTAATCAATCAGAAGTGGCCCATGATAGAAGGTGATAGACAGATTGATCCAATCACCTGCCAAGTATCTTTGAAAGTGCCTGCCCTTTCCAGATGGCTTCCAATGGAGCTCTCCTTGATGGTTTGGTGAACCATCTGAGTCAGGTTAGCAATGCTCCATCACATGTTTCTATTACAGGGTGAATCTTAAACTGAAGCTTGACTTTAAAGCAACCCAACGGAAGTTTCATGTAAGTTTAGTTCTTTCACTCGTAGCTCGGGCTGCGGGGGTGCTAGAGACGGTAGCACGTTGATACGACCTTCCTAGCCGGAGATATGACCGCATTTTACAATACACTTCCGTTGGGTCGCTTCAAAACAAATATCGCAAAATCGAATCGCAATCTCTGTCAGAAAAATCGCAATTAGATTTTTTTCCCCAAATCATGCAGCCTTAATCTCTAAACTGGTTGACCAATCAGAACAGAGCCGGCCAGCTAACCAATCAGAGCAGACTGGGCTCTGGTTTCAGACAGAGGGTGAAAAGAGGTGCTGCAGCACATATGAGAACAATAAAGAGCTTTTTGATCGATGAGTCTTTGGGTTGAATTTAAGTTCATTATTCTCTCTTTTTTAGCTGTTTTTCGTCCCCCCTCCGTTTAGAAATATCCATCTTCTGCTAAATCCTCCACTGACGTTAGCCAGCCAGTTCCAACTGTTCCTGTCGGCAGTTGCTTTGTACAGTGTTTTCTCTGGAAATGATGCCATGAGACCTTTGAGAGTGACCCAGAACAGTGAAGTTGTGAAACTCAAGATCAACAATGAGCTGAAAGTCATTATGAAGCCGCAGGGAGTCTCTCTCTCTCTCTGAGGGTTAATCACTAGCAGAGCACTCTCCTCCCTGTGAGATTATTTTACTAGAAAAACACTTATTTTGTACTCACGGTGGAAAGCAGGACAACAAACAGATACACATCTCCTCATTTACGGTTTGATTATTCTCTCATCTCAGTCTGCTGTTACTCCAACTCTCTGAAATGAAAAGAGAGAATATGATGACTGAGTGCTGCAATCGCACGTCCTCCTGATTGAGCTGCTAACGGGGGAAAGGTAGAACCTGCAGAGCAAATCAAACACCTTGCTGAACCTGAACATCATTTCCTATCAGTTTGAAGCACCAAGTGGCTTTTGAGAAATCACTGCACAGCGGAGGCAATCAGAGTTATGAAAAAAACTCTCCGTGAAGTGACTCTACCGGTGTGACGGATGATTGAATGTCTCCGGGTACTTTACATTCAGGAGGAAAACAC